ACACAGACTGTGAATCCATCTCATCCGGTACAACAGGGGCCAGAAAACTTATATTACAATGGCTATACAATTCCACTGGTATTTGGGATATCCTGCAGCTATTTGTATGTGATCGGTTTGGCTATAGAATTAAAGATTGATAGCTCAGGTTGTTCAGATGACGGTTGCACTGTTCGCTGAGCTTGGCAATTTTGTTGCAAACGTTTCGTCACCAATCGAGGTGACATCATCAGTGCGTAGTTGGTTGGCGAGCAGGAGCGTAGAGTAGCGTGGAGCGTACTCTCAAGTCTGATCCTCCACGCTACTCTACGCTACTGCACACCAACCAACTACGCACTGATGATGTCATTTCGATTGGTGACGAACGTTTGCAACCAAATTGCCAAGCTCACTGAACAGTTTAAGCGCCATGTGATAGGTTTGCCATCACGATTACATATTGCATCCCTTTGGGAATTAACCATATCCATAACGTAATCGCATCAGAACCCGATAGATATAATAGGAAAGTTATAGATCTACAGTGAAAACTATAGCTACTAATGTAGCACACTAAAACGTATCTTCCATCAACTGTTCCTACCTCATTTCCAGTTTCCTTGCCATCCTTCCATGATGGTCTTTCATTGTTTAACGGTGCCTCCACAGCATGTCCATTTTCATTTTGTAATTCTAGCAGACGCCGATCAATTTCAGCCAATCGTGACAATTTTCGTGGGCTTCGGAGTTCGCTAAACTTGGAGATGCTCTGCCTGGCTTCTTTGGGCTCCAACAAGCAAAGTTGTTCTTGGCAGACAGATAGACTAGTTTGCTCCTTCGTATTGTCCAACGTGGGCCACAGCATCCATGTGTTCTTACCAGTTAAGTGGCTGGTGGAAACTATCTCCATCATCTGAACTCAGAGTTGTCAAGGCATCAGGATGTAAACGTAAATATGTTGTCAAAATTGCGATCAATGAAATAAAATTTACAACTTGGTTTTTCGGATATTTGCCAACTATTCACCAGGCTGGTCATTTAAACAGTAACCAAATGTAGACTCTAATGTCTTCCGATCTATTAATTCGAGGTAGTCGTTGAGGCACACCCTTCGGAAAGATCCACTGTTCAAACTTATGGCCATAAACAAAATTATCCTCGGATGCAGCTCACGGTGCTCAGGGCACTTGTGTGATTCACGAGGTAGAAGATCTGGTTGATAAAATCCACAACCATCTCACTCAGCTTTCTGTGAGTGAGTTCAGATCCTAAAGTAATCGTCTGCATAGAACCACGTACGAGCACGTTCCGTGGATCCAACCTAGTCTTACCTCTGGAGCTGTGATGTATACCTACGGCGGAAGATGCAGCGAAGGGACCTCGTGGTATTTCAAGCTTTATCACTGCCGCCGACTGTGAGACTGATCTGACGAAAACACAGTTGCGAGTCAATGAGGCTAGCCAATCAAGTAACAGTAGTCGATATAATTATTATTGGTTCAGACTAGGTAATAATAGGCTTGTACAGTGCAGTAAGTAAGTTTGACTTCAGGAATCAACACCTTTTTACTGGACAAGTTATCGTATGACACCCTAAAAGCCAAGTTAGTATAGGAGGTGTAAAACTCATCAAACTCAGTGAACCTGGCAGGAGAACAAGCGACGCGAGACTTGCATGTGGTTTCAGCACCGAGTACTGGATTTAATTTCACTCTCTTCAATAAAGCTGTCATAGACCTGGGGCCTTCGTCACTCTCTCTCTTCTGTTATTGTAACGACACCATTTTAATGCCGCTCACGGTACGCTGATCTATAGTCCGTAAGCATCGCTGCTTAAACATCATACCACAATGATTTGCTGCTTTTCTAATGATGTTCGTCTGCTGCAAGTAATTCGGATTGATCGTTATAAGATTCCATTATCACAAACGTAATAATAATATGCATAAACCCAGTCAATGCAGACTGCTACACAGACCGAGATTCCCTTGTCAAGATCAACATTAACAACAGTAGTACATCAACCACTTCAATTGATGTTTCGCTGCCATACAACCTTGATGACCTAAGGAATAAAGAATACTAAGTAGGATAGAAGGGAGACTTACCTGAATATCATACCGCCCTAAGCAAACATCCAGTGTCAAGGCGCCTACACCTTGTGTAGACAACATACCGTCACAAACAACTGGCTATCGTGTAAAGCTAAAGCGGCATAGACGAGACAGCTTCCTTGCGGTTTTCACTGCCTCACGTCATAAACAGCCATTACCCCACAGATAACTCAGCACCAAACACACTTTAAACAGGCAATCCGATTAGGAGACGGCAGCAGACGCGCCACTGGTGTCTACTGCAAGCAATGTCCTGTGAAGTCTCGAGCCAAGCACAAGGCGAGTCACGTGGACTCCAGCCAGGAAGGCTAGACGGACCAACGGCACCCAGTTTGTTCATCAGTGACTTCAGTTCCCACTGCCAAGTCAACTTCTGTCCACCTCGAGCCTTGCGCCACCCTACAGCTGGCAGACTAAACAAGGCCCTCCTAGGTAAGCGGTGACCAGCCATAGGTAGCACGTGCCCGAGCCAACGCAACTCATTCAGTGCTATCTGTTGTTCTAGGGAGATAGCATGATTATCAATACCTAGTACTCGCTTACGCACATCATCGTTGCGGACACGCTGGTGCCATCCGACTCCAGCAATGCTTCGCAGACAACGATGATCAAAAACTTGGAGACGCCTCAGGTCTTCAGACCGAAGGGGCTAAGTCTCACGAACATTGAGCAGGACGGCCCTCACTGTGGCCATGTACACACGCCATTCGGATCGAGGGAAACCCTACTGTCGCCAAAGATGTCGCAGGTTCAAGGAGGCAGCTGTGGCCTTTGTAGTGCATGAACTGACCTCAGTTTCTATGCACCCATCGTTGCTGATGCAGCTGCCAAGGTAAGTGAATCGATCAGCCATCTCGAGTTCCTCCTTAGTAAGTGTCAAGGGGTCATAAAGTGGCGGGTGGTCCTGCAGCAACACTTTGGACTTTGAAGGCGCGAAGTGTATACCAAATAATTGTACCACTCTAGACAGGCTATTCAGGGTTTGTGCCGCCGCGACATCCTCGAAAAGCAAGTAGATATCGTCCGCATAACCAATATGAACTAACATGAAGAGGCTAGTTACACTCGACCACCGGTGCCTTCGTAATTTAGCTCACATTTGGTGGGAACACCGCGTGAGCAACGAGCGTGTTCGATGCCTTGTTTATGGCACAGGAAAAGGAACTGAACCGCTCAGCACCGTTATTTCACGCACCAGGCTCCGATGGCTCGGCCACGTGTTACACATGCCAGCCCTTTGACTCCCGCGATGTGCGCTGCTTGTGCGCTGGGGTTGTGGATGGAAGAACAAGAGAGGTGGCCAGGCGATGACTTGGTCGAGAGGGATGAAGGTCCTCACTTCGAAGCTGTCTTCAGTTGGCGCGTCTCGGCTCCCTGGTTGGGGTCCGAAAGACGATGTACACTTCTGGTTGGACACGCTTGCTGATATGGCTAGGAGCCGACCTCAGTGGCTTTCGTGCTGTGAGTTTCTTTGTCCCACCGCATCCCTCTTAGCCTCCCCCACAACCATGATCTTACTATTTAGCCTTATATAATTTTGCATAGTAATTTTTTGTTGCACAGTAGCCGGCTGGTAGCTTACCGGAACGATGCCTACCCGTTACCGGTAGCTCAGCCAGCTTGCACCAGTTGCATTTTTTCTCCTTTTTTCTTCTATGTATTGGGGCACAGTAGCTGAGGTGTTCCCCACCTCTAGCTAACGTGTATAATGATGATGATGAATCTTTCACCAGACTGGACCTCAACGCCTGCATAGTGAAGTTCTCCAAGGGAACACTCCATGATAGAGTCCACAGCGAAATTGAACGAAAATGCTGAAATCGGACAGCCCTGACGAACACCACCTGTGGCCGGAAAGCTATCCGACAGGTCACAGTAGACCTTGACGCGGCCTGTAGTGTTCGAGTACAGAGTACATAGGATGTTCACATGCCTAGCGGGAACACCTTTCCGCGAAAGTATGTCCAACAGAATCGATGGATCGACTGAATCGAACGCACTCTTGAAATCGAAGAACACAGGTATGCGTGGCGCTGCTGTAGCGACTGCCGCAGAGTGAATATATGGTCTATACAACCACATCCTGGGTGGAAATCTGCCTGCTCTTCACTAATTTGAGATTCCCGTTCCACGGTATGTCGACGAATGAGAATCGAGGTTAGTAATTTTGCAACAACCGGCGTTCGGCTAATACCCCTGTGGTCAGCACAGTTTGTGTGACTGCTCTTTCTGTATATTGCCACTGTAATCGATATGCTCCAGTTAACCGGGACACCCTTCCTTCAAGATACATTCGAATAGGGAGGTCAGTGCTTTGCAGAGGACCTCACCTCCATCCTTAAATAGTGCAGGTGGGAATCAGTCTGGGTCAACGGCACGTACACGATTGCGGGCGGTGATCGCGTTTCGGACCTCGGCATCCGACGGAGGCTCTAAACTAACCGTCCATGTCTCGTCCTCCATCACCTGAGTATGAAGAGGTTCGGGAGCACGGGGCCAAATGAACTTATCTTGAAAGTGTTCCGCCCAACGAGCCATACGGCACTCCTTATTGTGTATCAGTGCACCTGCGCTGTCTCTGAGTGCCTCATTGACGCCTGGTTTCCTGGGACCGGTGGTGCGGATAAGCTGGAAGACTTTGCGGTAATTGCTTACTACTCCTGCCTCCTCTATTTCTTGAGCCCGACTGGTCCACCAGGCTTCCTTTTCAGCATGGAGGATCCGCTTTAAACGCGCCTAATCGTTCGTCTGGTCATATTGTGCTCAGAGCCAGCCGGGAGGCTTCTTCTGGATTTCAGCAGGTTCACCAACCTCTCGGTATCCAGTGATTGGTGCCTTGTCGATTGATAGTGCCACAAGAAGATGCTCCCGTGACGTGCATGGCGTCCGAGGTTCTATTTCACTGATGCTCAGTGTCATTAGGACAAGCAAGCCAAAGTTCGGTACGCAGTGCGTCTTAATGAGCTTGCCTGACCGATGACTGAGACAACTTCTCAGTTAGCAATCGGAGCGGGGAAACTTCATAGAGAAACGACAGTGCACTAAGGCATGATCAGAAGTGACGCAGGAATTCCAGTACGAGCGGCAATCCAGGATGAAACCCCGCCACCTCTAACTTATGGCAATGTGGTCAATTTGGGTCCATTGTTGATCAGCTACAGGAGGACGCCAGGTGCCATTTCGGCGCCCACTGTGTCTATACTCACTGTGTCAATACCAGGTGTGTTTAAGATGTGTGCGCGTGCAGCGTGTTGATCTATCTGTCTTAGAGTGTGAACACTGAACGCCGCCTGGGAAACGGGACAGTGTGTCCTTATAAGAGACTGTTGCCGAAAGCTGTCCGATGGGTGCTGTGAAAAAGTGGCTGCACATAGTTCTACTCCAGTGGCACTTCGGTTGCTGTCAATTAAGCTGGGAATTATAGAAGGAAGGCAAGTAATGGGGGTCGGGATAGGAGTAAGAGAAACAAGTAAAACAGAAAGAAAGGCGGCGCCAGTAGTAGCATATTTTCGCTCATCCGCCCCGCTGTACGAAGCAGATTAGGCTACCCTGGATAATATGCGCGATGATCGTTGTAGGAGGAATTTTATGTCTGATGAAAATGGCATGGTTGCATGTTGGCTGAGATACCGCTGGGGCTCCCAGACATAGACAGGAGGACGAGTAAGGTCTTCGACCAAAGCATGGGCTCAAAAGCCTGTACGCAGGGCAGCGGGGTGGCAGTAATTTAGTTTTACAGAAGTGGAGGCCATCCCATTTCAAACCCCTAACCTGGTGGACCACAAGACTGAATTTGTCTGACCTCTAACAATTGACCAACCTGGTAGGAGAAGATCTCAAGTGGCACGGAGGCACCACCCAGCATAGCTTAATGGGTCAAGAAGACACGCAAACCGTCGCACCACGTTAAGGTCCAGTCTCGTTGCGACGGTTGTCAAAGTGTCCTATATTATCACACACGTGAATGGGAACCTGCTGGTTCGGTTCACTTCAGTCTATTTCGTACATGAAGGGCAAATGAGGCGATAAGCAATAATCCGTCGATCGATTCGGCAGTTGATTGCTTGGACGATGATATAGGGTAGCGAACACGAATTGCAGTCTGGGATTTGGAATTATTTATCACTGAGCATAGAAGGGATGCTGGTGTAATTTTAGATGTAGGAACCCATGGATTTGAAACCCGGCAGGGGACCGAGGAACGCGTACCACTGACGAGATCCAGAAGGTCGAAACAACCATCTGGTGCTTTTCCAGACGCTTGGGAACCTGCAAATTAAAGGTATCCTAGGCGGTTAAAACAGGCACAAGGAACGGTATCTCACAGTTGAACAACACCTACCTCTGTTGCATTCATGTCATAATAATATCCTGTGTGTCAAGTTTTGAGCTTTTTCTGCATCGAAATGACACCAAATAAGAACATCTCAGTGGTTGGTCCATGACCAAACTGAACCATATGGAAATTATGGTACTTAATTGTAGCTGTTTGCTTTCTTTGAGTGTGGTACTAACACACTATTACGTACTACGATCGGAAGTTCTAACGTACACTTTGAATTGAATAAGTCCTGAACAGCGTCATCCACTCACCTGAGGTTCCTTCGAGGAAGTGAGCACCTGTGAATCGACAAGCCAATCCTCTTCATCAGAACATTCCCCTAACAGATACTCCAACCGAGCCTGTTCCGCATCTGTAAACGGCATAATCTGATTGTGCTTTCCAGCCAGCTGTGAAAAAGGATATGAATGGAAAAACCTTTACCAGGTCTGCGAAAGTTCAGTATATAAATAGCAAAATAGTATGATCCATTGTGGTAATGCAGGCGAGACGTCTATCCCAGAGGATTCGCGAGCGTGAGGCGAAATGAGGCCCTCAGACAGCTCAGTCACGTCGCAACTCCTTGAAAGTGACCATACTGCATCTGAGAATGATTTAAAGTCATCTACTCACTACCTGAACGCTTCTCGCAAGGTTTCCAAAAGCAAATATTGTCTATTGCCGAGGCAATTTACATCCACCATCTGAAGCCGGAATTATGTCTACCTTAACGGTTTATACGGCAGATACTACTACCGTGGCCGACTGACATGGTTACTTAATCCCTTCCGTGACCTTCCCTATTTACCTTAGGTTGCTGAGGCTTGTGTATTAAGTTTCCTTTGGTGCACTTTCTTGCCATCTGTAGCCGCATTTAGTCTTTGATCTTGAGCGTTCAAACACCTTAAAAATCAATCCCAGCCCGATTTGATGCTTGCCCCACACAAGCAGTGTTATGTAAACGTTTGGGTCTGAAGAGAGTTTCTCGAAGAGAATTCTTAACCTTGAACCAATTTCTGGTGTTGATTCATCTGAATACAATGAGAATATTTGCCTTGCTGAAAATCAGCATTGCCTTTGATTCGTTGAAGATAGTGCAGAAGCCGCCGTATTCGTTCCTTTGGAGAAATATGCGGATGACGCTGCGTTGCCTAAGAAAATAAACAATTGATGAATTGAAGGATAAGTCAGACTGAACCAGCGGATGCACGGATGGTCTCAGGAATGAGATGGAAACTGTTAGAAATTGATATCTTGAAACGAGGTAAATTATGTCCCCACGGCTAACAATAGAAATTGGTACAGGCAAACCCGCTTTATTGCCCACCTCGCTTTATTGTCCAGATTTTCAAAATACATGTGCTTTTCTCATAAATAGGCTAAATTTTCACCGTCTACTTGCTCATTACCTGGGTCGTCCCACCTCTTACTTACCCATCTGTGTGGGCTATGCTCTTGTCGCTTTGTCAATTTTATGCCCTCTTTGACTCTTTTCTTAAGATTACCTCACAGTTAGCCAGTCTGATCGGGTCAAGAACAAGAAAGATGTCGGCGGCGTTATTGACAGATCAGAAAAGATTACCTATGCCATTCAATACACGAGGAAGCTAAATGTGCAGACAAAACGCGAGAACGGAGCTAAAGTCGGGTACACTTTCTGCTCCACAATTATCACTGCTCTATTGGTTACACATAAGTATGCCGAATAACAGAAAGTATTTGTCCTTGACAGAAATGTTGGACGTTTTGGACAAATTAAAACATATCCACCAGTAACCTCGCATGTCAAGATGTCGCGTGATCTACACATTTCTTGTTCTACCCTAGCCAGGTTGATTGCTAGTGAAAAGGAACTCCGGCGAAATTTGTCTCATGGCACTGCAAGTTCTTAGAAAAGGAAACCACGTGGAAAGGATGAAGAAGTTGAAAATGCAGTGAGACTGGATGATCTCGGTTGGTGAGCACAAGCAAACAGTTACAGGCCCGCTTATGAAGAAAAAGGAAGAAGAATTCGGGGAAGGACTTGGAAAAACCTTTGCTGCAACTGAAGGACGGTTGCGAAGATAGAAGCATAGAACTCAAATTGTGTATAAACATGCACATGGCGAAAGAGTTCCGTGGACAGGGCAGTCCGTGAAAAATGGTTGAAGGATCGAATTCCTAAACGTTTAAATGTTGCTATGAGAACAACGTGTACAATGCAGACGAACCAGATCTTTTTACTGAGCAACTCCAGAATGCTCGTTGTTTATTGCTGCTGACAAGCTCAACAAATGGAAAAAGCCATGGATAGGATCACTTTCCTGGTCTGCGCGAATATGTCAGGCACGGACAAAAGAAATATAGTGTTGATTCAAAAAGTAAGAAGCTACGATGTTTTAATGGCGTGAATGTATTTACACTTCCCGTAACTTACACAGTTAACAAAAATGTGTGCATATCGTAAGAACTTTTCACCGGATGGGTCATCGAATGTGACAAGGAGCTAGGCCAATATGGCCGAAAAGTTATGTTGCTCTTCATCATCATAATCATCATCATCATTATACATGTCAGCTAGAGATGGTAAAACACCTCCGCTATTGTACCGCAATACATAAAGGAAATACATACATACATACATACAATACATAAAGGAAAAATAATTACGACAGTTGAATGCCAGCTGAGCTACCAGCAACGGATACGCATCGTTCCGGTAAGCTACTAGCCGGCTACTAGGCAAAACCAAAAATTTACTTAGTTTTACCCTACGAAATAAGATCGTAGATGGAGGAGGAGGCTAAAGGGATGGGGAGGGACAAAGAAACTCACAGCAGGAACGCCACTGAGGTCGGCTCCTTGCCATATCAGCAAGTGTATCCAGTCAAACGTGTTCACCGTCTTTTGGACCCCAACCAGGGAGCCGACACGCTCCAACTGAGGCCAGCTCCGAAGTGAGGGCCTTCATTCCTCTGGACCAAGTCATCGCTTGGCCACCTTTCCTCTTCTTCCACCCACATCCCCGGTGAGCAAACAACGCACGTCGAGGGAGTCGGTGGGCTGGCATGCGCAACACGTGGCCCAGCCATCGGAGCCTGGTGAGTGAAATGACGGTGCTGAGCGGTTCAGTTCCTTTTCCTAGGCCGTAAACAAGGCGTCGAACACGCTCGTTACTCACGCGGTGTTCCCACCAGATGTGAGCCAAACTGCGAAGGCACCGATGGTCGAACTTAAGTAGCCTCCTCATGTCCGCCGATCTTAGGGGCCAGGTTTTGCAACCGTACAGTAAGGTCGAACGTACCGCTGCATTGTACACTCTACCCTTCAGGGCGAGAGTAATGTCGCGCCGTCGCCATAGGTGGCGAAGGTTAGCAAAAGCACTTCGAGCTTTCGCTATGCGGTTCGTGATCTCGTCTTCGATCCCAAGGGCGCTGATACAACTTCCCAGGTAATTTAATTTCTGAACGCCTTCTAGCTGATTCCCCACCAAGGGTCAGCACAGGGGGCGAACCCTGCCAATCCTGGAGGAAGGCTTTGCACTTCGGTGGTGCAAAGCAAAGCCCGAAGCGACTGACAGCCAGTGCTAATCTGTCCAGCGCGGATTGACACGTCTGGGAGCTGTCACAGATGAGGGCAATGTCGTCTGCATACTCTAAGTCAAGAAGTCGTTCTCCTGGGAGTAGCTCCACACCTTCCAAGTCATGTCCTGTAAATGCAATCTCCATGACTTCGTCAATAGCGAAGTTGCATAGGAAAGGTGACAGCGGGCATCCTTGTCTCACACCGCTGGAGATATTGAAGGGTGGCGACAGCCTGCTGTAAGCCCTTACTCTGCCCGTGCTACGCGCATATAATGCTTGGATAATATTTACATATTTCTCGGGCACACCTTTCCTGAGTAGACAATTCCAAAGGGCATATCGATCAACCGAATCGAAGGCACCTTTGATGTCGAGGAACACGACTACCGTGGGCCGCCAATATATGTGACGGTGCTCCAACAACTGACGCGAGGTGAAGATGTGGTCGATACAGCCACGACCCCGACGAAACCCGGCTTGCTCCTCACGAATCTGGCTTTCACGAGCGCCAGTCACTCTGTGGAGAATTATGGACGCGAGTAATTTGGAGGCGATGGAGATCAGACTGATTCCTCTATGGCTACCGCATTCCGAGCGCGAGCCGCCTTTGAAGATGGTAACAATAACGGAGCGGCTCCAGTCGGTTGGGACAGTTTCCTGCTCCCACAGTTTCACTAGTAATTCATGCAAAGCATCAACAAGAGCAGAGCCTCCAAATTTGAAGAGCGCTGGAGGAAGATCATCTGGTCCCGCGGCTTTGTTCAACTTCAACAGTCCGATCTCACGTTCGACTTCTGAGCGAGAGGGTGTATCCAAATTGACAGCCCACGGAGCGGGGCGATCAGTGACCGGCGAATCGAACAACTCTTGCCGATTAAATTGCTTTTCAAAATGCTCAGCCCAATGCTCCAGACGTTTTGACAAATTGTGGATAGGCTGTCCACTCTCGTGACGTATAGTTTCACTAACACCAGGTCTCCTGCTGCCCGTTTCCCGTATCAGACGGAATAACTCACGATGGTTGCCAACGGCAGCGGCCCCTTCCATACCTGACGCACGATGAGACCACCAAGATTCGCGGTCCCTCTTCAGGCTAGCACGGAGTTTTGCCCGGAGCTCTTTGCGAGTTTCATTGTGCTCGCTTCCAGCCGGGATTTGCCGGCGAGCATCTATAAGTTCCAAAGACTGTGAGGAGACCCAATGTCCATATTGTCTATTAGACATACCACATGAGGATTTGCCTGCTGCTAGTAAGGTCTGGCGAACATGTGACCAGTGACCATCAATTGTCTCCTGTGAGCGCTTGCTCAACTCGCATGTTAGCGTACTTCGATACGCATTCAGAACAGCTGGTTTTGTCAGTTGGCTGGTGTCAATACGCTCACAGCGTCGTCGTGGGCGTCCGCCAAAACGCATCCACATGTCAGCACATACACGTGCATGATCGGAGTCCACACATGTGCTCCAAATCGAGCGACAATTCTGGATGCAGCCTCTCCAGCGGTAACTTATCGCAATGTGATCGATCTGCGTCCAAGGCTGGTTCGAGACTGGTGGGCGCCAAGTCACCCTTCGGCGGGTGCTGTGTCGGAAATTAGTGCTCGCAAGAAATAAGCGAGCATCTTCACACAAATGAAGTAACCGCTCACCGTTATCATTACGGGAGCCTACACTGTGTTGACCGCCCAGATGCAGTTCATCAGTGGACAACTTTCCAACTTGTGCGTTCATATCCCCCGCCAGCACAACAGTGTCCGTGCTTCTTCCGTGGCGAAGGAGCTGGGTCAGTTGGCGGTAGAAGTCGTTCTTTACCGAATCATCGCTACAGTTTGTGGGCGCATAGGCAG